ACCAATTAATTAAACGTTTTTAACAATTGTCAGAGCTAGTATGCTATAATAGTTTAGAAGAGTAGCCTACTTTTGACCTGCATTTGTTAAAATAAAAATAAAAAAAGTGATCATTCTCAGTTTTAATACATTTTAAATTACTAAAATGTCTCTGCTCACAAATCTGTAAATCATAGATGTTTAAAGAATAGATTTAAATTAATAAAGATTTTAAATTTACGAATAATTAAATTGTTTTGATGTTTATATAAAAGTGATCCTTAAATTGAGTCATAAGACCATATTTTTTGTATTTAAATATGCAGCACAAGATTTTTGTCATACTGTATACATTTTTGTAAGATTTAATATTTTACACAATGCTTCTATGAATAAAAAATATTAATAAATAAAAGTATAATCATTATTTTTGTTCAGATAGAAATGAAATGAAAAATGGACTTGTCATGATGTACTGGTGTGAAATTAAGTTGCATCATGCTTTAAATATTTTATTAATAATTTATTTAGTTGTTATTTTAATTTGTTGTTGTTGTTGTTTTACTACTTTAAGTTAGCTCATTTTACTTAATTAAAATTTTATTTTTATTGATTGATGATTTTAGTCTACTGTAATAATCCTATTATTAGCATCAAATATTTTGATGCAGATTTGTACTTTTTTTAGAGTCAAAAAGTGTTTTTGCTGCCCTCTAATGGTTATTTTATTCACCGTTCCCACTTCTCATATCTGCATATCTCTGTATTTGTTCACATCAGCAACAGAGTCCAGTGGAGCAGCGCTACAAAGAGCTTCTGGCATTAAGGGATCAGTACCTGAAGAAACTAGAGGAGCTGCAGCTCTCAGACTCCGCCCCTTCCTCCACCCACTTGACAAACAGCTCCACCCCCAATGCTGCCACGCCCAATCAGCACATCACACATTTGCAGACACCATTTTGATTGCAAACTGTTAAAGACATTGGACACTTGTACATAGCAATAGTGATTAGTTATGGTAACACGATTAGTAGTGATGTCGACGATAACAAAAACAATTATGCAATAAACCACAGTACAGCCTTCATCGTGCAAAAAAAATAAACGTTAAGCGAAAAGAAAAGCCTTAAAGTAACAGTGCCGCATACTAAGCATGGAAGTGTGTCATGTGGGTATCCCAGAATTCACTTGGATATGTGACTGTGATTGAAAGTGGATGGACGTATGTGATTTCTGTGCTGCGTTATGTGTGTTATTAGGGTTCTACATCTGGAGAACATTTTTGAATGTTGAGTACTATTGAGATGGCGTTCAGAGAGTGCTGGTTTTGTTTACAGCATTGTAAACTTTAGTCTACATGGTGTCCCGTCAATCTCACATCAAGCAGGGTCTTCAAACTTTGACAGAGCAATCGGTAGACTTTGTATAACAGCTTGACAAACTCAAATGGTTGACCTCATGAGGTAAAGGAAGTTGATGCGTTGTCTAAATGTCTTACGTTTTTCCACCATAAATCTCATTCGCTGATAAGAGGAGTGTGTGTTATGGTCGGAAAATGTCCTGACGTGATTAACGTTAGCTTGTGGAACAGAACCAGGGTTTTAAAACAAGCGACACAGATACCTTTTTGGTGCCTTTACTCAAATCTGAGGTTTTCAGGTGTATATTTTATAGATTTGTTTTTCTCTTTATGGCAGCAGTAGTGGTAGTACTGAATGATTTGCATTCACTGTGCGGTTTTGGTTGTTTTTTTTTCTCCTGCCGAGTTCTGGAGATTGACAATTTTAAGCCCTACATGCATTGGGCTTGGGGTTTTACTCCATAAAACGACGTGCAGTTGCCACGGAAAGCAAATATTTTGTTTCTGATGGAGCTGACAGTATTGCTCCCAACGAGACGTAGCATTGTCTGCAAAGTCTTTTGGGTAGGAGGAGAGGCTGGGATGTGAAGTGGTGTGTTTGGACTGTCCCATATTCAGTCTTTTCTTGAGGAAGAGAGCGGTGACTGAATTCTTGCGCTGCCTCAGAAAACTGAACTTCTAAAGACTTTGACCTCAATGAGGATATGAAGATTATTAAACCATAGTGTGTGAAGATGACAAAGTTCAATAAACAAACAAACCATTTGCGGTTGGTTGTTTTTAGGGGGGATAAATAACAGAAATCTATTTTTTATTTTGTACAAGCACCAGAACTATGTAATTACCTCAAGCAAAAAAAAACTATTTTACTGTTGAAAGTTCTATTGTTGTAAAATATAATTATTTTATTCAGTGTAAAAATTGACAGTTTTATAAAAAGGAAAGTAATTAGAATAAAAAAAAAAAACATGTTTTGGATGGTTTTGGTAATTGTAGGTCATTTGTCGGACATCCTCTTAAATATAATTTCTTTCTTTTTTTAAATGGGCATTTATGTTTTGCTTTGTAACATTTTAAAGATCTGAAAACGATCTCATTCTGTAGGGAATTCTTTTGTTCTCGATCCCATCGCCTTGTGCATGAGATTGAGTGAAGGAAAGCTGCACTCAGTTTTTTTTTTTTTGCTGACATTATCTTAAGTTAGACATAATAGTTTAAAGGGATTTATTTGTGTTTTGTATTCCCACATGTATCCTTTATTTGTTGGCCAGCTATTGTTCTGTACATAATGCTGATTAAATTAATTTAAAGAGTTCACAAGGAAACGACTGTATGCTCATTATTGTACCCAAGCATTCTCATTGCATGACATAGCAGGCTGTTTAAAAGGTGTTTACATGAAGTACTTACAACCTTTACACTACTTTTTGAGTTCATCCATTCCTTTCTAAAGTAAATCTGATAACATTTAAAAGGTAACTTAAGCATGACTGTAGTAAAAATATTTGCACCAATTACCAAACCTGATTAGGAATCATTTACTCACCCTTGTTCAAAATCTACTTGAGTTTCTCTGAATTTATAAAAAAAATCTTCCATAGTAATGTTCTCCTTGCATTTTAGTCTTCAAAATATAGTATTTCATTTTTAACAGAATAAAGTGAGTCATAAATGTTTAAAACAACATTATCAACCATGAATAATGAGGTAATTCTGATTTTGGGAAAACTATCCCTTTAAATATACCACACTGTAACCAAAAAGTTAAGGTAGCTCAAACCGTTTGAGGTAACCAATCGCAACAAACCATTTAAGTTCAAAAACTAATCCTAATTAGCACTCTGAACTTAATCCATTTGAGTAAATGAAGCATTTGAGCACAGTAAAATCTAATAAATAAAGAGAACTCAAACCAACTGAGTACTGTAAAACCCAATACGTTAAGACGACTCAAACCATTTGAGGAAACCGATTGCTACAAACCATTTGAGTTAAAAATCTAATATATACGAGTACTGTGAACTTACTTCATTTAAGTTGAAGTAATGAGGTATTTTATTAACTCATTACCTTCAACACAGAGTTCAAATCTTTTTCAAATGAGTAGAATTAACTTTCAGGATATTTTGAGTTAACTACACTCATTTGATAAAGTTGACTTGGGTTTTTCTGTGCAGGTGGGTATTCTGATCAACTTATTTAACTTGCGCTAACTAAGTAACATCTGTTGCAACTTATAGTTTCTGTTGTATAAAAACACATTGTCTTAATAAAACCAAGTAAGTGTGGTTCCTATAAGTTAAAAAGGGCTTATTCATCCAGCCAGCAGTAGCACATTAACATGCTATAATGTTACCAACTAAGATACTATTGCACAAACAATAAGATTGTTTGATATTAATAAATGGCAATATGCATGTTCAACCTTTGCAGACAAAATGGAAACCCTTTCAAATTTATCATCGCAGACATTATCAGATTTCTTCCAATATTAAGTACATTAAGTAACGTTTGTGTTTATTCTCAGAATCCAAAACAAAGCATGCTAAGAATTGGAGGCTAGCTCGACAAAATGGTACCACACAAATGAATGTATCTTAACTATGGTTTCAGAGTAAGACTGGTCTGGACGACTCCCTTTAGCAGAGGAGCTACAGCAACTGAAGAAAAACACCCTTGTCACTCTTGTCAGGTAAGAACAGCAAACTGAGGGAATAATTTACAATGGTTCAACAAAATTTGGAAAAAAGGGTTTTGCTTTGTCTGAAGAGTCTTGCAAGCAAACATCCAGTGTCCTGACAGTTTATCCTACCCATCAGATTATGCTACCAACACTGCATTTTAATGGTTCTGAGGTTGGGGTTAGGGTAGGTTAGGGCAATGTTACAGCTTCATGTCATACACATTAAAATTTACACTGATTGCAAAATCTGATGGGTGGCATATTGTGTCACCAAAATGTGCTACCTACTTTTTGAATGGAAGGCAGGACAATCTGACAAGGTAGGACAAATCAAAAGAGCACCGGCCTTGTATTAACTGTTTAAAATGATAGTGGTTGTACAGTGGTGTGAGGGATATTTTTGGCTCCAAGTGAGCATCATTAAAACACCACAGCCTAAGTAAGTATTGTTTGCTGCTGTCCTGTCTATTAATGGCCACAATATTGGCCCATCTTGTACAAGTATAGCTAATGAAGTGAAGAGTCGGCCTAAGATACTGTAAAAAATTAGAATTATATATTAATGCAAAGATTAATTTTTGGCTGCCATTAGTCCAGTCTAAATAGTGACATTTGTGTTAAACTGAATTGAATGAAGCTGAACTGAATTAAACAGTGACATTTGTATTAAACCACAAATGCCACTACTCTCCTGCCTGATTTGCTGGAATATTCCACAATATAAAAAATGTTTTTTATTTATTTTCTTCGTCTTTGTTGCTGCTTAGGCGCAATCTATATATTAAAAAGCATATAGAAATAAAGATTAAATTAATTTAATTAAAATCACCAATCTATATGCGCTATTTCGGCGCTAAAACTGGTACGAAAACATTTAATATTTTTTATGGAAACCGTGAAACTTTGTTTCATTTATTTATTTATTAAGTATTTTATAATTTTCCACATGCTTGAACCGATATGTTACAGCTTACACACTGATCTGAATATGGGTGATGGCGGGAGGGGGGTTCGTCATGGCCGCTTCCTTGACATAAATAAAGAAGAGAAACGCTATTTGTCGGCGCAGAACAGGAAGCAGAGACAGAACCGCAGACTGCAGCGCACAGAGATGACTTCCTAAACACACACACATTCGGCTCTTTCACCAGAGAAGCTCAAACACATCCCCATCTTACAAGACGGAGCTCGGGAAGCTGATAAATGGAGAAGCAGCAGCAGCATCATCCGTCGGGTTCAGAGAGTCCGGTGCTCCCGCCTGTCGCGAGAAAACCGCGAAACCTCGGAGTAAACCCTGCATCTCGACAGGACAGCGTGGATTCATTAGACAGGTGTGTGTGCTGGTTTTATCCGCACATTTATCATTATAATGTGAAATTTTTCATTAATAAAGCTGTTTTCGGTGTGCACGCACTCCATACCGTCGACATCCCTGTCGTGATATACAAATTACACACGTATTGTATGTATATTGTTTTATTATGTACATTATATACTGCACAGTACAGTTTATTCGTGCTCTCTCTAAGATTAAAACTAAATGCTTTCTGTTCATCCTAAACAGCATAACGTAACGTTACATCCTCCCATCCTCATGAAGATGGTTACCGTTATTATCTGTTTTTGTGTAAGAGCCTTTAAGTAAAACATTAAGATAGTATCAGTTAAACAGAAAGGATGGAAGTAGTGATATAACTTCTATGTGTTGTTGTGCTTTTAGGTAATGAAAGATCAGAGTGTGTGTGTGACACATTTCCCTGACCTCATATCGCCATCTGTCATATTCAGTCCACAGGATGTCAGCACTGTACATAACACACACACACACACAGAAACACACATCAGACAGCCATGCCAGTATTGAGTATGTAGTTGGATGTAATCACAGATTATGGCAGATGCATTGACCGAAACATTTGTGTGAGTGTGTGATGATGTGTTTCTTTTCTCACTCAGTCCTACTGGGTCTCATGTGGAGTGGTGTAAACAGCTGATAGCAGCCACTATCTCCAGCCAGATCACCAGCGGAGTCCCTTCAGAATCCATTCACAGGGAATCTAAGGTTAGCATATTTGGCACCCTACATCAGATCTCCATTGAATAAATATAGGGTGATGTATAGTTAGTTGGTCATCAATACATCAAGATAAACCCATACAAGTGTGTAATGGGGATTTCTGAACATGTTTTTGTGTCAATAACTAACTGACCGTAAGTTGGTTCTTAAATAGTTCACAGACAAATAAAGAAATGTACTCGCAGATTATTCCCCTGAAGTTGTTTGAAACCTTTAAGAGTTTCCTCTGTTGAACACAAAATAAGAGGTTTTGAGAAATGTTGTAAACCGGTAACTATTGGCATTAATAGTCGAAAAAACAAATACTATGGAAGTCAATGGTTACCTGTTTTCGACATTTTTCAAAATATCATCTTTAAATAACATCTTTTTGTGTTTGACATTTGGAACAAGTTGAGGAGGATTATTGGAGGCGGACAGTATTATAAATATTAATTTCATTTGAAAGTATTAAGTTTTTTTTTCATTATTTATTTTGTAGATTGTCTTTAATTCTTTATAAATTAAAACAAATGTTAAAATGATTTCAGTTTTACTGTTTTTATTTACCCTCTTCTGGGTGAAAACAAACTCAAATGCATCATAAAGAGAGTTAAGCTTGGAAACACTGTGTTCCGAATGAATGTTTTGTTGAGAGTTTTGTCTTGGAGTGAGCCATTATGATTGTGTTTTTGATTGACAGATTGGGAAGAAGATAGATACTAGGGTAAGGGTGACGGCGGTTGGTGTTTTTCAGTTTGCTTTAACCACTGCTCTGCCCTGCTTTGAGCTGTTAATTAGAAAATAAATATGCATACAATTCTTTATATCTACTGTTTTTGCACTGCACACATAGCCTACTGTAGTTTGCTTTACCTTTGTGTGTGTTCTTTTTGTCTTCTGCACACAGTCTGTTTGTACAGTAAAATGTTTGTCCATTGTTTATAATCCCTTAATTATGCTTCATTGAAGTGTGAATCTTATCCAGAAATGTCATTGGTCGTGTTTATTTTCATATTCAAAGCAATAAAAAAGAAACTCCTATTTGCATTAAGGCTGTGTTTAGCCATGAACGGGAGTAGAGCATAACAAATGGCTATTATTGTAATACATATAACCGTTTTATATATTTAAAAAAGAATTCTGTGCTTGAAATAAACTGTTAAGGGTTACAAATGTCTATTATCCTCACAGATGTCAAATTTATTTGATCAAAAATAGTTTTGAACTGGAATATTGTGAATATAACACTTTTTTAAATGTAATGGTGATGCTTAATAGCAATATTTCTTTTATTGTATCCTGATTTATCCTCAAACATGAAAACCATTTTTAAACAATCTTTGAACCAAAATCTTTGTTGAAGTCTACAAGAACAACATTTATTTATTTGTTTGTTTAAACAATAGTTAATACTTAACTCTATTCCTCATCTTGATATTTGTAACATGTATAAAACTAGTCAGTTGCTATTTATTTAACATCTAAATGTAGATTTTTCGAAATAAAATAATACCTAAAAATATCTTGACATTTTTTGTTCAGATTCAGTCTAATCTTTGTCTGTGTGTTTGTATAGTGTTCTCACGTGTTCATGAAAGTGTGTGTTTGTGTGTGTGTTTGTAACTCATGTTTGTCTGATGTTTATGTGTGATCTCCAGGTATCCAAGAGGCCAAATTTCAGGGTAAGGCTCCAGAATCTACCATTAGCACAGATCTACTAGTGTAGTAGTGATGGTTGAGCAGCTGTATGCTTTCTGTTTTCTCTCTGCCTCTTCAAATCACACTTCCTGTCTCTGTGTGAGGATTTGACCTCTTGGCCCTAAAGAGGAGCTAATATTTTCTGCATTCTTTCCCATTCCTTTTTCCAAAACTGATGCTGGAACTTTTTTAACAGTCCTTGTCTTTCTCCTGTGTTTCTTCTTTTCTTCTGCTCCTCATGGGTTCTGTGTTTGTCTTGCGGATGATGCTCAGTCTCAGGACTCTGGTGAAGATGGCTGTCAGTTTGACAGTGATTGTGAACTGCCGTCTCACACTTCGGCAAGTTTCTCTGGCTTTAAACTTACTCTAACTCTACTCTTTTTTTCTGCTTTACTGCCAACTACCTGGTTTATGATTTAAAAATGTTTTGTGTTTTATGATGCAAAATAGATTTTATGTGATTGATAAAAATGCAATCAGTGGCCACCACCATTTTGAGAGCCTAAAAAATCATATAGAGGCAAAACAAAATTAATTTTTTCTTGATGCTCCTGATGATACATTGAGGTCATATGGAGCAAAGCCAGTCTATGCAAGAAACTAAATATCACAGCAGTTTTACTTTAAAGTAAAGTAGCACGATAAAGTCCTTGAGTGTTCACGACTGTCACATACTGATGTTCTGCACATTTGAGTACAAACTAGTTTTAACAGGAGCCATGGGTGTTAATGTAGTTTTGCTTTTAAACAGTTGAAGACAAAATTATTAATCCTACTGCTAAATTAGTTTCTTTTTTAGATCTTTTCCAAGTGAAGTTTAAGCACATTTTTAAACATAATAGTTAACAAAATGGTCTTTGCCGTGATGACAGTACATTACCTGACAAATGTCTTGTTGTCGATCCCAGCTGTAAGAGCAACAAATAAAAACCTGACTTCTAGTTGATCATTTGGAAAAGTGGCAGAAGGTAGATTTTTCAGATGAATCATCTGTTGAACTGCATCCCAATCATCACAAATAGTGCAGAAGACCTATTGGAACCAGCATGGACCCAATATTCACAGAATCAGTCAAGTTTGGTGAAGGTAAAATCATGGTTTAGGGTTACATTTAGTATGGGGGCATGCGAGAGATCTGCTGAGTGAATGGCAACATGAACAGCCTGAGTTATCAAGACATTTGTGCTCCCCATTACATTACAAACCACAGGAGAGGCTAAATTCTTCAGCAGAGTAGCACTTCTCAAACTTCAGCCTCTACAGCACAGGTGTCAAACTCAGTTCCAAAAGGGCCGCAGCTCTGCACAGTTTAGTTCCAACCCTAATTAAACACACCTGATCAAACTAATTGAGTCCTTCAGGCTTGTTTGAAACCTACAGTTAAGTGTGTTGGAGCAAGGTTGGAATTAAACTGTGCAGGGCTTCGGCCCTCCAGGAATTGAGTTTGACACCCCTGCTCTACATCAAAGTTCCTGAAAACAAATATGGTCAAGATGCTCCAGGATTGTCTAGATTGTCTGTTTCTGTGTGGAGTTTCTCCTCGTGTTGGCTTGGGTTTCCTCCGGGTGCTCCGGTTTCCCCATGATAGATTGCAGCTGGAAGGGCATCCGCTGCATAAAACATATGCTGGATAAGTTGACGGTTCATTCCTCTGTGGCGACCCCAGATTAATAAGGAGACTAAGCCGAAAAGAAAAGGAATGAATGGGGTAAGATGGTGGAGGAGACATTGAGGATGAATCCAAAGAATCTTGAACTCTGGGAGTCCTGCAAGAACGCTTGCTTTATTATTTGAGGCATTGCCGAGATGTATGGATGCAGTGCATTAATTAGACCTGTATTAATTCTTTTTCCACTGCACCATGACTTTATATTCTATAATGTACATTATTATTACAAGTTATTATTTGTTGTTTCTAAAACTTGGATAGACGACAAGACTTTTATCAGGTAGAGAACATAATATATACATTATATTTCATTAGTTATTTTGCAGCATACTAGTATTCAGCTTACAGTGCAGTTTAAAGACTTAATTGAATGGGTTAGTTAAACAAGTCACTAGACAACAGAGTTTTTTTTGTTCTGTAGTCGATCAAAAAAAAAAACATTCTTAAAGGGTAATATGTGTGTGTGTGTACATATTATAAGTCCAGCACTTCTCAAAAGAACATTCTGTGTTGTTTTTATGTTTCATAGCAAGTATTCAGGGATGTACGACGGCCGGCCCCAATGGATGAAGTCCCATTGGTCCCTGGAGAGACAATCAAAACCACCGGTATGTTGGATGAGTCTCTGTGACTCTTGTTTCCTGTTTCTGCTTGTCTGGTGGTGTTGGGTTCCATCTGTTATCTTCTGTCTCTGCAGTTAAAGATGTGATGTATATCTGTCCTTTCACTGGAGCCGTGACCGGCACACTCACTATCACAGACTACAAGCTCTACTTTGTCAGTCTAGAGCGGGTACGGAGCAGAAATCATTCTTTTGTTCTCTTTGTCTATTTTAAGATCAGCATATTGACTTGTGTTTTACTCCATTCATCTTTTTGCAGGATGCACCTTTTATTTTGGATGTGAATCTGGGTGCAATCAGCAGGTTGGAGACTATCAGTGTACAGAGTCTTGGAGAGAATACCAGTGGCATGGAGATCGTCTGCAAGGTCAGAGGCACCACTTTTAATAATAGACAGAGATTATGGTAGATTATATTCAGTGCATACTAGGGATTGTAATTTATGGTTCGGTGTAACAACAGCTTTAACCCAAAAATGACTGGAGTGTCAGATGAAGATGTCAGAGATTCAATCAAAGACAGTTTACTGAAGATAGTTTGCAGTTTCATCAGCAGAGTCCGTAGGCTGCTCTGCTTACAATTTCAAAACAACAATTACACTGTAATATGCATCACTAACTGTGTCATACATACTGTATAGGTGTTTTAAACTGAAACATGTGGCAAATTCCCACATGTATGCACACAATTCTGAACAATATCTCCAATGATTATTTAGGCGTCAAGCATACAAAGGTCAGACATAACAGGAGGATATTTCTGTGATCAGAAAGATCTGAAGTGAAATTCAGCTCGCCTTCATGTCTCCACTGAACAGGCTCACAAACACAAAGAATACTTACCTACTTCAAGGCTGTTCTGCTTTTTCGTAGGCATCTTATCAGGATAGTAAAATAAACATAGCAGACTAATACAGAGAGAGCTTCTCTTATAACAGAAACATTTAAATAATTAATTCTTTCACACCGTAAAATTCACATCTAGTCACAGCTGTTCCAAGTACCATCAAATGTCCAGTTTCACATGAGAGGTTTCTGTGACGTCTTAAATAGACCTGAAGATCCTGAGGAAGCAATAACTTGGCATAAAGAAAAAGCAATGACACACATATCATTCCAGTTTTACTCTGAAGAGGGATGGATGGCACTTAGCTTGTCATATAATAGGCTTATTTCACATGGTCGCCATTTTAAAAAATGAAAGCAAGACTGCGGTGGGAAGAAATACTGAAGTATAGGATCAGCACTGTAAACATTGCAACAACATGCTGTGGATTACAAACCTCCAGCTGTTGCTGCCATTTCGTATTTCATATATGGTGCACTAAAAATCTAACTAACAAACTGTTAACTTTAAATTTGTAAGTTAGGTGGACATATTTTTTAGTTCAGAGTTGAATTTACTTATAAAAACGATTTTACTGCATGTTTGGAGCTGTGTGTTTAATGAAAGTAAAAAAATCAGTTGAGAAGACTTCGAATTTTGATTTCTTCATTTGAGCATTTACCAGTGTGAAAAATAAAAAGTTAAGGTAACTTAAAAAAATTAAAGCAACTGGCTGCAATGAAATCTTAAGTTTATTAAGCTTTAAGCTTCAGTTGAAGTGAAATTATTCCATAAAGTACACTTGACTTAAAACAGCCTTTTCAGTCAACTTAAAAAAATAATTTGGCTCAACTTCAACCACTGAAGCTTAATAAACTCAAAATTTCTTTGCAGCCGGTTGCTTTAAATTTTTAAGTTAATTAAAGCTTTTTATTTTTTAGTGCGTAAACATCACTTTAATATCATTCAGTTACTTTTAGTTAAAACAACTAAAAGCATATTAGATATCACATATAAGCATATGTCTTTAAGAGTAATATGATTAAGCGTTCTCCTAGACTTCAGTTTATGGCACCAGGTAAAACACTGTAAGGATGCTTCCTTGCTTTAGCCTATGTAACTCAGTGAGCGATAAAACAATGCAGTCCTCTGTAGCACACCCTCATGTTGTCTGTAATAGTGTTGTCCCAATAATGAAATTTTAAAAACGTCAATTTCCCACAGCATTGAGCGCATTCTTAAACACCGCTGATTTGCCATATTATTCACCAGTGTTCAACCGAAACAGTCGTGAAGGCCATCAGATTACCGCTCTCCACCAAGTGTAAACACAGATACTGGAGCATTTTAAAGCCATCAAGATCAGTGGAGTCATCAGCGGATTTCTGGTGAGCACTGGTAAACACAATGGCAAATCAGCGGTGTTTAAGAAGACGCTCTACAGCGATTAAATGTTAGCGGGAAATTAGCATTTTTAAATTTATTTCAGTACCGAAATTCAGTATCGTGACAGGTCTAATATAGTGAAAGAATTAGTTCATTAACTTGAGTTTAATAAATGGCATCTAAAACAAGTGTTTGGGATAGAAAACATTAGCTAACTAGTGCCTATTTATTTAACTAAGCTGAAAATTAGGTTTGATATCCCTTTTTATTTTTACTATCAATTCAGAACAGACCTTCGGGTCACTCGGAAGGTGGTAAAAAGAATGAAAAATTTGTGTCACTTTCTCTTTGCTGATAAGATATACAGCCAGATACACAATGTTTCTATGTGACTTCAGACGATTCTTCCAGGTTTCTTCCCACCACAGCCTCAATTTTGCTTTTAAAATGGCGGCCGCATAAAATCAGGATGCAGGACTGAACTGTGTGTGTGTGTTTGTTGGCTACTTAATATTGAGGAAAAGCCCCAATCAGAGAGGCGATTGTCTGATTGGGGCGATTGTCACGATTGTCTCCGTGTTCAGACGTCTCCGTTTTCCCCCATCCACAATTAGACGGAGCAGCAGCGTTTAAGAATAAACACTCGAAAACTCCGGCATAGTGTGGACGGATGGCATAACCGTAGCAAAACTTATGCGTTTTCGAACTAATACGCATTAGTGTAAACAGGGCCTGAGTTCATCAGGTGTAAATTTGCCCTTATGTTTTACTGTAGTACTTTGTTGTGTGAGTTTTTTTTCTCTTTTTCTTCTTTCTTTTCTCATTCAGTTTAGTTATTTTTTTATCATGCTTCTTTGATAATATACATTAATATTTAGTTTAATTGTTTATTCTGTTAGTCTCTATCAGTGATTTTATAAATTTCCCGCTTTATTTTCATTCCTTTATGGGTGGAACTGGGTTGCTATTGTTGTTTAGTTCTAGTTTGGCATAAAAACTGAGAAATGAAGATAATGGTTGCTCTTTATTGTTCGTTTTTTTTTTGTAACACACCTGACTGTCTAATAAAGCATATATTTAAAAAAAGGTAATAATTTGGCATGACACGTTTTCCAAAACATAGTTTTATTTTTTTCTCTTTATTTGAAAGTGTTTACTGAACAAATTGTGCCTTTAAATTTAATTCTATAGTGTCATCTACTAACACATTGCTGTAATAATAATGCTGCAACTGAAAACAGAGCCCATAATAAGGCATTCAAATTCATAATCATAATTAAGACCTCACTAAAAGTTCATATAAAATTTGATGAATATATAAGCTATTATAAATATTTATAGTCACACAGTCTCTATATTAACAATCTGTGATCTGTCTCAATAGGATATGAGGAGCCCCAGGTTTGCTTATAAAAAGGAGGAACAGAGTAAACTGGAGATTTTGGAAACGTTGACAAAGTATGCCTTCCCGCTGTCCAATGAGTTGGTATGTCATGAATCCACACAGTGCAGTGATTGGCTGCTAGATCTGTCAGTAATTGACTAATTACTCCAGAGCAGCTGGTTCATGCTTTTTGTTTTTGTTTTTTGTCCAGTCCCTGTTTGCCTTCCAATACAAAGAGCAGTTTCCAGAGGATGGATGGAAGGTTTATGATCCAGTGGCCGAGTATAAAAGAATGGTGAGACATGCACATTGCTGAAAAACAGTAGAGTTGACTGAATACATTGAATCAGAATAATAATGCTTCATTCTGCTTTCGTGACCTTTACTTTTTATTGTCTCCATACTGTCTGCAGGGTTTACCGAATGAGAGCTGGAGTATCAGTAAGATCAACAGTAATTATGAAGTGTGTGACACTTATCCTGCTCTGCTCGTCACCCCAACCAGTATTAAGGAGGACGAGATTCGACGAGTGGCCTCTTTTAGAGTCAAACACCGTATCCCAGTAAGTAAGAAGAAGTGTGCATCTGTGCTTTTCCACTTTTTTTTTATTTTACACATTCAGTCAAGTGTTGTCAGCACTTCATGTTAATTACACATCTGACAATAAACCCATCTGGGGAAATGAACAGAGCGCAACAGTTGGGTTCTAGAAGTAAAAACATGAATTTTTCTATAAATTGTTGTGAGCTTGAGGTTGTTAATTGATTATAATATGATCATTGAATCCATCTGTTTGCATGAATTCAACTTATTTTATTATTATTATATTAAAAACAGTCATGTATAAAGGCCCTTCTGCAGTGAGTGTAAAATAGTAATGTGAAGTGACAAATTGTGCTTTCAAGTTTAAAAAACATGAACCATTTTATCATCAATGACAAATTGATGCCTGCACATTAGGAGGTGTTCTGCTCGCCTCTGTTTTTTTTTGCGTATGCATTTGTCCGTGTAATTTCCAGTTGGTTTTAACCCCATCCACTGCACAGTATATAACAGTAAATTAAAATAAAGACTGAATACACCAATAACTATCTATATTTCTTGCTTAAAACTTTGACATATTAACCTTCTATAGCAGTGGTCCCCAACCTTTTTATTTCTGCGGTCCAGTCACTGATTGACAATTTTATCATATGACTGTACATAGATTGCTTGGCACTTTCTCAGAAGATGACAAGTTGACAAAGCATTGCTGCAACTCTGATACAAGTTTTATTTATTCATTCATTCATTTTCTTTTTGGCTTAGTCCCTTTATTCATCAGGGGTCGCCACAGCGAATGAACCGCCAAACTTATTCAGCATATGTTTTACGCACCAGATGCCCTTCCAGCCGGAACTCAACACTGGGAAACACCCATACACTCACATACACTACGGCCAATATAGCTTATTCAATTCACTTATACCGCATGTCTTTGGACTTGTGGGGGAAATCGGAGCACCTGGAGGAAACCCACATGAACACGGGTAGAACTTGCAAACTCCACACAGAAATGGGAACAGACCCAGGGTGGGCTCGAGCCAGTGACCTTTTTGCTGTGAGGTGATCGTGCTACACACTGTGCCACTGTGATGTTCACATACAAGTTTTATTAATGCAGAAAATTTAAAAGCACTGCAGTGTTTGGGTGTTCTGTGTTTGTCTCATATAATTAATCTATTCTGTTTTTATTTTATACAAAGTATGAAGCTGATTAGTCAGTTCTTGTCACATGACTCATGGTGCTCTTACGGCATTCTGAAGCACCCTTGAAGGAACGAGTGCGTCCGCGTGACTTGATTGAAAACAACGAACACGTGTGCGGAAAAGACACAATATGTAAACGGCCTCTAAAAAGCCTCCATCATTTGTGTCCTCGAGCAGTTGATCTTCTTACACAGACATGCTGGATTCATCTAATTTGTTGACAAATGAGTTGCAGATCCTTTCCTTGGTAGTTTGTGGGTCCTTCACTGGGCCTTTTCCCCTTCACAAAGAAACTTTCCAAAGACATCTGTTTCTTACTCATTTTGTTAGCTTGTAGGTTAAATTTAGGCACTAAAGTGACCAGGATGTAACCGAGAGAATGCAGTTATTTTTCAAACTAAAAATATTGTTCAGACTATAAATTAAAGATAATAAATAAAACAGAAAGACTTAATGATTTCTTGTGCGGCCTGGTAATAATTTGATCTATTAACAGCTACCGATCCGTGGCCCGAGGGTTGGGGACCACTGCTTTATAGGTCACTTATTGAAACTTTTATGATTGTCAACAGCGTCAATGAAAATCACTTCATAACTTTAGTCGAGATAATTGCAGAGTCATGTGTTTAGTAGTTATGTTGAATCAATGAAAGCAGTGAAATCTTTGGTTTATTCAACCACAGCTATGTGGATTTCCTAGGGTTTTTGTAGTGAGAGTGCTGACTGGCCTTGGGATGAGATTTACTACTGCTCAAACACCTGTGCTTTCCTGACAAGTTGTGCATCACATTCTCAGCTTTTGATCAATTGTGATTACAATTTCATTTTGATTAATCATGCAACCCTATCGTTTGTCAACTTTGTATTTTTGTACAGTTCTCATATGCTTTGCTTGTTTCAGGTGCTCTCATGGATCCACCCAGAAACTCAGGCCACTATAGTCCGCTGTAGTCAGCCCATGGTGGGCCCCACAGACCGCCGCTGTAAGGAGGATGAGCATTACCTCCAGACCATCATGGATGCCAATGCACAGTCCCATAAACTCGCCATATTTGATGCTCGGCAGAACACTGTGGCTCACAATCACAAGGTGAAATTTATTTTTAAATAGTTTTTTTGGAGTAGAGATGAAGAGAAAGGTTTTTAGTGTCTTTTGTAAAAATGGAAACTTTTTTTTGAGTAAAAATGGAAACCACAATTCTTCTCTTCTTACTTTCTGCTGCTTCGTGTCGCAGACTAAAGATGGAGGCTATGAGAATGAGAATTTCTACCCCAACATGGAGCTGAATTTTCTGGAGATCCCCAACATTCATGTCATGAGAGAGTCCCTTCGCAAGCTGAAGGAGGTGGTTTACCCTACCATAGAAGAACAACGCTGGCATTCGGCCATAGATGCCACACACTGGCTGGAGTACATACGGGTAAATAACACTTCTACATCATTTTTACCAAGTGCATAAATCCATTTCCTGCTTAGAGGTGTAAGATTACTGTAATCTGTATTAAGATTGTAACTGTTGTTACATTAATGCATGCTAACATCATACAACTATACAAGTATGCAACTCACTTTGCAGACAATAATCAAAAACATTTCAAGAGCCCGAAGGCATCACTACGTTATGCACTACAGTACAGGTCACCTTTATCAGGCTTGCGTTTCCACTGCCAAAAGGGTACTAATGGTACCCTTTTGGCAGAAAGTTTCAGACAATGTAATTTTTACTCGAGGAAATGTCACCGTAAAGCCGCACGAGTCGCACGAAGCACTTCTCACAAAACAGAGACTTTATACACATAAATACTTGTGTATAAATGTTCATTACTAACCTTTCTCTGAACATAATTTCATCATAACTGCAGATCAATGATATTCAACGAAATAGCCTACTGTAATGTTTGCGATGATATAAAATAAATAAATAAATAAAAACAACATATATGAACACATCCTTACACTCTCTGATATGTTACTAATTACAAACTACACACAGGATACATTTAGTCCTTTTTGGGTTCAAAAACAACACGCAATATAGCCCACAGTCAGCGCAAACCTCTCAAATGTGTCTTTAATTGTCAGCAACACATGTAATAATTACGTCATTTTGAGGTCATAATAGTCCAAAAGGTAATGATAATAGTTAAACATGGCAGTTTGTTTATGTTTTATGTTGCTGCTCTGTTTTTCCGGTTATTTTTCTTTGTTTTCTCGAGCTTCACTCTCACCTTTGTCCCTTTCTGAAATGATCGGATGTCAGAAGTGCTTTAATAATCACGTTATTAATATGAGCTCAAGAAGTTTGTTATTTTATTTATAGACATGCGGCAAGCTCTGGAGAAAAGTAAAACCGCTTGAACATTTAGACGGGCTCGTAAAACAACAGCATGACATGGTAGAATTTGTTCTTCTTGGCTTTGTGACTGTTCATCAAGACGACGACAAGATTTGTTAAAGCTCGGGTCGACTGTGGCTTGCTATTTTATATCTATATTATTACAGTGTAATGCCCCGGCTGTGTTTTTAAAAAATGGAGGTTCCTCCATTCTCCTGCTTTTGCGAGTGACGTATTTCTGTGAATCAATAGCGTTCAGCTGCACGTCTAGCTCCACCTTTTGGTACCCTTTGGTTCCCTTTTGTTTTAGGTACCCTTTGACAGTGGAAATGGCAATAAAGTGTACTAAACCATACCGTACCACTCAGTGGAAACGGACCAATAATGTTCCTAGAATATAAGCTATGAAGCCAAAAGCAGTATGGGTCCTGTATAGGGTTTTAATTTTGTATTAAACAGCATCACACAAACGAGAGTACAGTTTACAGTAGTTTTTTGCCACAAGATTGTCTGTTTTTGTTTTTGTTTTTTTGCCACAAAAATGATTTCAAACAGAGCCAAAGCAGAACATTTGTGCATGTCAAAGCAGCTCTTTTGTTATAATTCCTAAATGAATTGGTAATTGTTTGAAACATTTTAGCCAGTGATTCAATCAATTCATGAAGATTGAAGCTGAGTCACAAATGGCACACTAAACACTATGCAGTTATGCTCTTACACACTCAACAGCATAGTATATGTATGTAGTGTCGTCCCAAATGGAACAACAATGTTTTACAAACTAAGTGGAAATTCAAACTGTTTCCCAGATGATGTTTGATGGTTGCCAAATTAGTGAATTAAATTACCAAAGTACCAAATAATACCTGCCATTACTAAAACTGCATTCACCATCGGAGGCCTGTATAATCAGTCATATAGGAGAATTTGTCTTTCACAATCCAAAATAAATAAAGTAATTTAACATCAGCTCCGTTCCTTCCGCTACATGAGCAAATCAGCAGCAGTTGAGTGCGTGAAGTGTCCAACAATCCAAATTTCTGTTTACCGATTGAATAAGTGCATCATCCGGGTATTTAAAGCACACTTACTCTTTTTCTGTTTTCAGTATGAATGCACTACTTACACTATGGTGTAAAATTGTGCATAAGGATGCAATTTGGGATGCACATTGATTCTAAATAAATCAGCCATTTTGAACTAATTGTTTGAGTGAATAGTTCAATGAATCACTCCTTCAGACCATACTTATTGGCAGTTTCACTGTCATATTTATTGCTCCATGACACACCTAAACCAGCACAAAAACACACTCACAATGTATATATAAGATTTGGTCAATGTCCCACACTTTAGTTCCGCTCTGGTTTATGAGTGTCCCAGAAGAAAGCCAGTCAATTAGATGCTTTTAAAGACGTCAATTCTCTCTTGCTCTTTGCAGCTTCTGCTTGCGGGTGCCGTGCGGATTGCAGATAAAGTTGAGTCCAGTAAGAGCTCTGTGGTGGTTCACTGCAGTGATGGCTGGGATCGCACCGCTCAGCTCACATCTCTGTCCATGCTGATGCTGGACTCCTACTACAGGACTCTTAGGGGCTTCCAAGTCCTGCTGGAGAAGGAGTGGATCAGCTTCGGACACAAGTTTGCGGCGGTGAGGAATATCCCTGAAAAGTGAGGGTGTATCACTGAAAAGGAAACTCTATATATGGTGGTAGAAAAGTGGATGATATAACCAAATTGGCAGACGAACGTATCTTGATGAAATTTCTGATTGAAATAAAACTGAAATGTATTGAGATGCATTCAGAGTTTGGGCTCGATTTATGCTTGTCCTCACCGAGGCAGAATTTACTTTATCAAAAATGCAGTAAAACATTATTAAATTATGAATTATTGTTATTAAATTATTATGGATTACTCTTTTTTTTTTTTATAGCGCATTGGTCATGGAGATGAAAATCACGCCAACTCTGAGCGCTCACCTCTATTTGTTCAGTTCATAGATTGTGTCTGGCAAATGATGAGACAGGTGAGGTGTACTTTAAGCACTTCCTGCTTTATTTATAATGTAATGTTATTTGTAATGCTACACATAGGTCACACTTTACATTAAGGTTTTGTTAGTTATTGCTAACATGAACTATATTTGTACAGCATTTATTAATCATAGTTTAACATTTACAAATGCATTATTAACATCCAAATTCTTGTACCATAGCATTAGTTAATGTACTGTGAGTTAGCATGAACTAATATTGAACAACTGTATTTCCATTAACTAACATTAACATGAACAAATACTGTAATAAATGTATTGTTTATTGTTTGACAATTCAGTAAATGCATTACCTAATAGAGCTTTATTGTAAAGTGTTACCACATATACTGTATGATAGCTCATTTAACCTGAGTCCTGTGAATTTCCATAAATAAATACTCTACTGTCTTCTCAGTTTCCCTCTGCCTTCGAGTTTAATGAGCTCTTCCTCATCACCATCCTGGATTACCTCTACAGCTGCCTGTTTGGTACATTCCTTTACAACAGTGAACAGGAGCGAGTGGAAAAGGCATGTACCATTGCACCAATACAGTTTTGACAATGTGCATGTTTCACAGATAATTTTAATGGCTAAAACATAGTTCTTAATTTGTTTTTGTTTTTTTCAGGAAGTGAACCGTAAGACTGTGTCATTGTGGTCCTACATCAACAGCCAATCAGAGGATTTTACCAACCCCTTTTATGTGGATTATGAAAATCATGTGCTGTATCCACTGGCCAGTCTAAGACACCTGGAGCTGTGGGTTGGATATTATGTACGCTGGAACCCCCGCATGAGACCCCAGGTGAAAACAAATTAGCAAATATGTAAAGTCTCTTATACACTTTAAGCAGAAAACAAAGGACAAACTGATGTAATGTTGTTTCATACTAAGGCCCCGTTTACACTTGTGCAATTTAGTTTTAAAACGGCGTTTTAAAATTAAAACAATCCGTGTCCACACTAGCGTTTCACCCAGCATTTCTGAACAGCTCTCCGTCCACACCAAAACGACTGAAACGCACATCACGTGACCACACACACACTCTCTGGCATGCGCTGCAGCATATCTACCCAGATGAGAGCTGTGCTTATCGAACTGCTCATCAAGCATCTCCCGCTGGATCTAATCTCACTATATTTGTTAAACGTGATATTTAATTCATCTTGTTGTCTTTATCTAACGACATATTCCCCGACTTTGGTCTTGTTCTACTACTTGTTCTTTGGTAAGGTGTTTTGGCTGAGCGCAAAGATAAGTTAATAATTTATTTAACCACAAACATCCTGTATATTGACTGATTGCTTGCCTTTATTTCCTTAAATGTATAAACTTATTCTACTTATACTTTTATAATGGCCATTATCGATTATTAAAACTGATATTCAGCAAAAGAGAGGGTATGTTTCGCATTTTTTACTGAAAATGAAAGGATGCAGTAATGTTAGGCTCCGTTTTGTTATAAATATCCACACAGTGAAGATGACGCTTATATATGCAGCACGACGCTTCAACATTTCTGCTGTTTAAGGCAGTTCCTTAAATCATGTTTACATTTTATTGTTGAGAAAGTGAAACAACAAAGCCAGGATGATGTGAATGAGTAAAAATAAAGTACACTGTTTCCTTTTTCCAAATCAAGCTTGCGAAGTCTGAACTTTCAAGGAGAGGATGCAGGACTGAACTGTGTGTGTAGGCTATTTAATATTGAGGAAAAGCCCCAATCAGAGAGGAGAATGTCTGCAGCACCGGCTCTATTTTCAGATGTCTCTGTTTTCTCCTCATCCACACTGAGACGGAGCAGCAGTGTTTTAGAATGAAATTGGCCTCTTCAGCGTTTCCAAAACGCTCCGTTTTTGGTGCTCGAAAACTCCGGCTTAGTGTGGACGGATGGCATAACCGTAGAAAAACGTATGCGTTTTAAAACGAAAACACTTTATTGTACACGGGGCCTAAATGCTTTGAGCAAAGCTGACATGACTTGACTGTGGAGTGCTGAATTCCAGAGTAAAGGTCTGCTCCTGCAAGGTTTTACTCCACACCTGGCCACTCCCACCGTATAGTCCGCCTTTGTTCACCCGTTGCCTGCTTAGAATTATTGTCTACCTGACCCGACCGTTCTCCCTAAATTCAGATCTGATTTAATAAATCTGATGTTTCAATTTTGGTACTTCCAAAAGAGTGCGATAACAGATAACACTGCAGGTTGTGCAAAGATTTGGGTATTAGCACTTTGGGTTTTAGAATTAACAGTTATAAATTAAATGTATTATTATTAAGGATTGAAGGCTAAATGTCAGTTTTGTTTGCCCCTTTGTGAGTGCCACCTTAAACCTGAGGTTCCAGTCTTGTGACTGCTAAATGGTAAAACTTTGATGTAGTATCACATCACACAAAGGGTAATTTTTTTTAATTTGTGTCTATGATGCATGAAAAAGACTCCCATACAACAGACTTGCCTTATGTGGGTTTCCTAACAGTAATCTGTTTTCTAATGCAAGCTGAAGGACAGCACATCTTCACTTTGCTCTGCCATGTTGGTAAATCCTACAAAAAAAGTACATGCAGAAAGCACTGATCCATGCGTCAGTTGTGAGCACTGACTGTACCGGTGCTCAGTAAGGATGAGAAAATCACAGATATGCTGTTGTGAAATAACAGAGTTATTGACCACTACTGCATTTTATTTGGAAATGTATTCCCGTGCCGCAAGAAATCTGTTTGGGTCCCCACAGCTCCTGTGATACAGCCGCAGGAATGCAAATCTCTATTGCAGAGCTTCGATCTTTGATTACAAAGAAAATGATACTAATAACAAAATAATGACAGCAGTTTAGAAAGCAGCATGATGGAAACATTTAAATACTAGCCGATCAAAAGCACAGAATAGTGCACTGCACTCCAACGCAATGGTGAGTCTCAGATCAAACTGTAGCCTGTTTATTTTATTTTCAAGATCGGAGGTAAACTATCTGCTGCTACGTTCAGTATGTTAATAAATGCCATGTAAAATGGTATTCAAGCTCACATATGTATCATTTAACACTGAATAAAGCACATAATCAGTACCCGAGGGGATCGTTTCATAGAAGTTTATGCTGTTCATCAACTGTGGGAAATTTTAAAATGTAAAATATTCCTTTTATTGTGTGTCATCGCTTGTGGCTAGAAAGGTTTTAGGCTCGATAGTCAGGCACGCTCGTCAAGCTAGCAACCTGAGTTTGTGTTGGAGAAGGGACTGGGAGGAAAAAGTGTTTTGATTTTGAAGTACTATACCTAGTTCAACCACTGGGGGTCAATATTATGTACTGCATCTTTAAAGTTGTTTATCCTTGTTTACAAATAGCCTTTTTATAGCAACATCATATCCTTGTAAGTCAAATTTAAATAGGAAAAAAATCAGCCATGTACACAATTGATATGAGCATATAAAGTCTTTGTAGCCTTAAAACCCTCTTACATCTTATGTCCAACATGAGCTCTCTGAGGAAACTCTAGTCTTGTTACTTCTGTTTAGATGCCTGTTCACCAGAACCTGAAGGAGCTGCTGTACTTGCGTGCAGAGCTGCAGAGGAAGGTGGAGGAACTCCAGAAAGATGTTTCCTCATCGCGCTCTGTCTCCTCATCTTCAGAGCATGCATATTCTCCATCACATGGCGGTACACCACTTCACTCCTCCGTCTAAAATACATGCATTCTGTGGAAAGATTCTAGGGACTACAAGGTAACATAGGAATGTAATGCCTACATCTATTAGTCGTTTAACTGGATGATACGTTTTAGAGCGCCAACATATGTAAGCTTGCATGAACACACCAAAAAGAAATAATCTTCAACAAAATTCAGTTTTATTTTAGTTGTTTAATCATAGACATTCTCTTAACCAGATAACGAGAGGATGTTTTGATGACACTGATTTTCAGATGTTGTTCAATATAGGCCAGTATTTAACTTGATTTGTAAATATTGACTTCACTAATTTATTAGTAGCCAAAGTAACATGATTGTTTTTGTGTGAGTGTGTGAGTGTGTGTGTGTGTATGTGTGACAGTTTTTCTTTGCTGCCTCGGTTGTCTCCCTTTGTGCCAATTCCTGTGTATAACCTTTAAGCATTTCACAACCCCTTTAATTCTTTATAAAATCCCACAAAATTAAGTTCTTAATGTTCCCATACAGATTAATTGGTGTTTGTATTGTAATATTATTTTATACGACTTTTAGATTAGGGGTTTTTTTATAGCACAAATGGTTTCTTGAATATTATTGATGTGATACTGCCATTTTGGAAATGCAATTAGTAGTTTCTTTGTTTTTTCATAGCACTTGATAGTATGAATGTGCAATGTGTGAACACATTACTAGTGCACTACTACTGTACTGTATTACTGAAATATATGTTTACTAAAGGTAAATAGGGACCATCTGATCTTAACTTCCCATTCATTAAATAAGTATAATTATACACTACCGGTCAAAAGTTTTGTGTCAGTAGGATTTTTAAATGTTTTAAAATAAGCTTCTCCTGCTCACCAAGGCTGCATTTATTTCATTACAAATGCAGTACAAACTGTAAAATTAAGAAATGTTATTGCACTATAAAATAACTGTTCAAAAGTAGTTTAAAATTTAATTTAATCATTCATTCCAGTGATTTTAAAGATGAATTTTCAGCTTCATTACTCCAGTCTTCAGTCACATGATCCTTCAGTAATCACTCTAAAATTAATTATTATTGTAATTAATATTATTATTAATGATAATAGTTATAAAATAAATATTGACTGAAGTAATTTCATTTAAAACTACATACAATAAGAAAGCAGTTATTTTAAATTTTAATTTAACAATATTTTTACTCACCCCAATATTTTTGACTGGTAGTGTAAATGGGTTAAAGTTAAATTAATTTACGAAAGGATTTGTAATGTTTTAATGTTAAAAATAACTTGTGAAAATAAAATGTCAACAAATAGGTGAAATATTGTTCAACCTTTAAGCATTTAACATCTATTGACCTGTACTACTTGTAGAAGAATCATATTATCATAAGAATCAAAAGCGATCATACTAAATTCTATTATTTATTAATTAATAATTCAAAATGTCATGCTGACAAGTATTTAAACCTGATTAGGATTAAACTACACTAGGTAATATAGTGGTAAAGTAAAAGAATGACTATTTTGTATATATGAAAGGAGAATCTAAAGTAGCACTGGTCTCTTTTTGTCTATGACCCATGTATAAAAATGAACCCAGTTTGATGAACCCAGTAATCAAGGGCAACAGTTCATTTGAACAGAGGATATATGAAGCCAATTATGTGTAATAATTTATGATGCAAAGAACATATGGTGTATTTGTTTTCTTTTATGACTATTTTTGTATTTGTGCCACCCTTTAATTCACACATTTTTGAATTCTGTTAAAAAATTCCAAAAACCTACAAAAAATAAACAACCAAGGGAATCAAAGACGAGATAAACTGTTTATTATTGGGTTTCTTTATGCTGATCTTTTGCCACCAAGTATAACCAGTGAGATACAGAGTGAAATTGGAATATTAAAACGTCTAGAAGAGGATTGCCAGTTGATATCGGTGTAAATATGGTTTTCATCACATTCTGCATTTGATTGCGAAGCCACTGATGAAAAGAGAGATTTCACGCTGAAGGTCGCTATTTCATTTCCAGATTTCATTTCGTTCAATGATGGCAAGAAAACAAAAACACAACCTACAGCATTGGCAATAAGATCTGTGGCAGTTCCATGATGCAAGAGCTGAACTGGCAGTGCAAATCAAGACACTTCAGAAACGTCTGTCCAAATAGCATATTTGTCAGGTTCATAAATAAACCCAGTACACAAGAAAAACCTTTAATATCTACAGCTAAAATCCAAGCATGCATGTCTGTACAGTTCTGCGCGCACACCCTTGTTTTGACAAAATTGCGACTACTGGCCAGACGACACCAGAGAGCCCAGAGAACCTTGCAAACAAAACAGCCATCGTATAAAATACTAGTTACCCATAAATGCAGATGGTGAACTGAAATAACTGGGGAGGGTTTTAACAGTCACATTATGTGTCCAAGCAACAAATCTGGAAGCAGTTCAACACAGGTGATGATGTTGTGGTTGAAAATGTTCAAGACACTTGTGAATTTCCACATTTGCCTTAACGAGGCTGTTTTACTCAGCTGTTTCAGATTCATTCCACCGGATCACTAGACTCATACACCAAAGTCAAAGAGCATGCAAAAAGGCAAAAACCATCACATCTTTGGTGTTCTTCATTTCTGACAAGTGTAGCACCAAAAAAAAGCTACATTGTTCTGGTAGCGTATAAAGAATTACATTCAGCTAACATTCTGTTTGTTCGTTTTCACCGTACAAATAACCATGGTAGGACGCAAGGAACGAGGAACGTTTCAGGCAACATCCCAACGTCTCTGACATCATTACCATTCACAAGACTTCTGCTTAATCTTGGGCATGTGAGTAAACAATATTTCAGTTCTGTTCAAACGGCAAAGAGTGTGAAGGTGCAGTCACATTTGCCGTTGTTCTAAGGGCAAATACAATCATTTTAATAGAAGTCCATGTAAATGAAAGGTTTGTGCGTAAAACATTTTGATTTGTCAGTAAATATGCCACATTGACCATTGTTTGGCAAATTTTAATGGTCCAAATTTGACCATTTCAATGTAAAATTGTCTTCAAAACAAGTTTTTATTGTAGATATATGCCCCACTTATCATTGTTTTGCAAATTTTCACATGTGAAATTTATGCACTTCAATTAAAACCACCATGAATAGGGGGAAAGGTCCACTTGTCATGTGATTATGGTGAAATATAGCCACTTTAATACAACCTTCATAGGTTAAACTCAAGAATTTCATTAGAAACCCATAGGAACATACATTTTTGTGACCAAACATTTATTTAAAGTAGTTTGTCCCTTAAATATGCTACATTTGCCATTTCCAGCAAGTTTTCATTGGCTAAATTCAGCCATTTCTATTGAAAACCCACATAAATATGAATTTTGTTTGCATAAACTATGCCATGCTGACTAATCTCTTGACTTTTATGCTAGCTATCTGTGCTTCATACATCAATGGCCATGTTTGTAGTTTAGGAGAATGTGACTGCACCTTTAAACTGGAAGAACGTACTAAACCTGGTACGTCTGATTTGTAGACATTCAAGTGAGGCAGCCCTTCTTATGGTTGTGACTATTAGTGCCGTGTTCGCAAGCTAGCGTGTCTTCCCTAATGTTAGCGTGGTAAGGCATTGGGAAGGAAAGCACCATTGGCAAGGGCTTGGGGTAACAAAGGTGCACCTGAATTCACAGTGAAAAACAACAGCTACAGGAAAATCTGGAGCATCTCAAGTGAGGGAGAGGATGGAAAGGACAGAGCTGCTTTCCAGTGTGGTTTTGCTAAATCTACGTGCCTGTTTTAGATGTTGACTTTCCAAATCAGTAAAAAATTTAGAGTCTGTAAACTGCAAACTCTTGGCGAATTAGCAAAGTGGGAAAGCAGCTCATTAAGGCAATAGCAAAACTAGGAAGGGTGCAACAGGTCTCTAAAAAGTCTCAAAGCTAAAGCTCAAACATGCTACAAACAATACAAACACTAAGCTAGGGCGATAAAACGACTCCCCCGTAATCCAAAAAGAGTGGGGGGGCACAAACATTTATGTACATTTACTGCTACAAGTGTAAATAGAGCTACACTGATACAACGGTTTGAGTACAAACTTGGAAACGGTATGCAATATACAAGCACATTAATTAATCCCTTAAAATCCCCCCAAAAAAGGTGATCAGAATTAGCCATACGAGAGTTACTACACTGTTTTAAGTATTGCGCTAACATGAAAACACAACTTCGGTTACTTCCAACCACAATTACTTGACGCTAATGTATCTAGTCGATCTGATCACGCCAAATTCATCTATTCCTCAAAAGAAGGAATCTCAACCACTGACATCCAGCTAACACACAAAAATTTCTTCATCAACACACGTCACATCTTCACAGTTTAGTCAATTCATTTTTTTTTTCTTAAAGCAAATTAGAAGGAAGCAGCTGTCGGTTAGTTTTTGACTTGAGTAGTTCATCCATTTTTTTTCCTCAAAAGTCACTCTAGTAAAAAGTTCGCTAAGACACAAAAACCTGCATATATGTGTAACAATCTTTTCACATTGCTCTGTGAAAGCAAGGCAAATATATACAGACCACAATAAAACTAAAAACCTTCACAAATCCTTCATCTTGTTTCAATCGCAGATTCCACAACACACACTTTTGCTGCGAAAACATAAGGGAAACACAGTCTTGACCTATAAAAGCATATTTCTTTGATTATCCAATCTGCCGTTTCTGTAAACCTTGGATTAATCAGTCTTCTCATTGTTCAGTAATACGTGTTTGTACACAATAGGAATGATGAGCTAATTTGTTAAACAAAGAAAACTAGCGCAGTTTGTGTGGGGCTCCATTAAAAAAAAAACAAATATGATTTCTGGGGTCTTAGCAGGTCATGCTACAATTCATTATTGGCTGTTTTTTGTTTCATAGCAATATTATTGCAGACAGGCTTACTATCATCGTTGCATATAAACAGTTCGAATAGTATAAATAAAAAGATATTACACTATGTTTAAGGTTGATTTAAACAGTCACATTGGTACTTGGAAAAGGGCGTTGTGGTGCAAATGTGCTGGGAAATACAGTGGCATTCGAATGGGAGAACAACAATTTAGAACTGCGCCCTCTTCAGTTTGGACATTAGAGATTAAACTGCATTTTCTTCTGTTGGTGGCTCGGCGTTGGGAGGCTGGAGAAGAGTTTGTTGCACTGGAATAAAAAGAAAAATAACGTAATCATCATTTGGAGAGAAAAAAATATTTATTATTTGTAGCTACAAAACATCAAACTTTATGAAAAATGTGTGCTATTGAAGCTGTACCTAGTTTGTTTTTAGAAAAGACTTTTTTATTTTTAAACTATGAGATACTATGAGATAAATATAATAATGCCGGATAGTAACTGATTTATCTTGTTCCTAAAGGGTTAGTTCATTCCAAATTAAAAATACTCATTCCTCCTGTTCCAAACCCCTGAGACTTTGTTCATCTTCAGAATACAAATTAAGATATTTTAGATGAAATCTGAGAGCCCCCTCATCCTCCGTATACTACAACTGTTGTTCAAAGTCCGGAAAATCATCCTCAAAATAGAATACATGCCTGTAGAGATTCCATTGCAATATTATCACAATGTGCACACATAAAACAACAACAACGTTATTAAACAGTTTTTTTTCTCCTGATTGTCAGTATAAACTGTCTTTTGGTGGGTGTGGTGTACGACAGAAAGTTACAGTCGACTTCATTCTCGCTCGAGGAAATGTCAAAGTAACGATGTATGAGTCGTTCACATATCATTTGAGAAGCACTTCTCACAAAACAGAGGCTTTATGCACATAAATACTTGTGTATAAATGTTCAATACTAATTTGATTATCACT